TGGCCTTGTGTGGCCCTGCTTGAGCAGGGGGGCTGGACCAGCTGAATCCAGGTGTGCCTTCCAACCTCAAACACTTTGTGACTCTGTGAGTGGTATCAGTAAAGGGTGATGCTGGCCTGTAGCAGAGCTAATAATTCATGAGAGGGCTGTGGGTGATAAGCTCTACAGCTGGTGCAGCTGGTGCTAAAAAACATCATGTGATGCTGGCCAGCATAAAATAGAAGATGTGTCCAGTAGGCAGATCTGTCACATAAGGTTTGACTTATATCTCAGAAATGTTTAGAGATTGATGTACACCCTAAAGCATCAAGATTAATATTCCTTCCAGACTAATTAAGACTTTGTATATTTTTATAATTGCCTACATCTCTGATTGCAGGGAAAGTCCATGCTTATAAAAAACTCATCCATAATTTCATTATCCACAGTGTGCCTTGTAATTAAGTTTTTGGTAGAACACAGAGAAAGCTCCCAATCTGTCATCTTTGTACTGTTCTTTTAAAACATGTTGACTTTCATTTCTGTCTTTTCTGATGTAAAAACATAATTCTTTCACTCTGCCTGGATATATTTCAGTCTGATCTGTATGAAATGTGAACATACAAATCTAATTAAGTACATGGATAGAAATTAAATTTTTCCATTCATTTTTTCCTAGTTTCATGTCATGCAAAGATTCAGTTGGAAAACAGTTAATGAAAAAAGTCAGGTGTTACTTTCCATTTAACCTGGCTATACTGCTGTATTATTTGTACAAAATATGATAATAGATATAGTTAATAGGTACCTAAATAATGTTAATGGCTAACTTATTTTGGAAATACAGTCATTAGCCAAGTTACTCTTAAAAGTCTTGTGACTGTGAAAGCTGTCAAATACCCTGCTGCTTGGATTTTCAGAAAGCGCAGCTGGAGAAAGAAATGGATTCACAAACTTTTCTGCTCATAACTTCACTTTTGTCTACACTTCCAGGCCTCCAGTGACTCCACTTTTGCAACTGTACTGTTGTCAGGCTTGCAGCCGCATTGTGATCTCTTTGATCCCTCAGTTTAGGAGATTTATAATACGGGAAAATGTTGCTGGTTAGTGTTTGATGGGGAAAGATTTGATTTTATTTTCTTAAGTGGTGCAGGCACTGTCACTCAATCAGTGTTCCATGCAGTTGGTTCGTTTTTTTTTCCTCCTGTTAAACAGTATATTTATGTTGAGCAGCATGGGGACTATTGCCCTCTCCAGAACTGAGCAAAGTGCATCAACCCATACCACTATATGTGAAAACCTTTGTCTGATATCAGCTCAAGAGGTTTTCAGGGACTGATTTAACTGATCCTATCCCCATGTGTGAATTATGTGGGATTTGGGTCTTTCAAAGAACCAGAGTAATGCTGCTGGCCAAGCCCTTGGAATTTTAACCCAATTTGAATAGCTGAAGATATGTAAAAGCAGTTTTTCCCTGTATGCATATTATGTATTTTTAAATTGAACCTAAATGTGCAAGAATATTTTATTAGCTTCACAGATAGTGGTGTAAGAATCAATTCAATTAGTGAACAAATCATTCCTAATTAAGAGTATAAACTGGAAACTGCAGTAGCCCGTGTTCTACAATTGGTGAAAGACAAAGTTCAGATCTGAATTCCCTAGAATACCATATTCATTGAAGCATTGTGCTTTAGAGAGCATTTTATGGAAACAAGTCTTTGACACTGTGCTGACAAGTGTCTTATGTAAACTCCCATCTGTCACTGAGCACAGAAGAGTGCATCTCAAATGTGGGCCATGCAGCAGCAGCAAATCAAGTGCCTGCTTTTAATAGTGCAGCAAGAGGTTTGAAGACATTTGATATTTTTATTACTAGCTTTTGTCACAAAATGCAGTCTTTTAAAAAATGGCCAAATGCCATAATGGTTTAAAAAGAAAGGATAAGCTCTTGAAACACGTTTTGTACACTTCCAGCCATTATTTCCTGAACAAACAGGCTGAATCAGGTCTGTGGTATGGATCTGGGGTTCTGGGATCATTTAGATCATTTGGAATAACCATTTTAAGATGTTTCTACTTTCTGAAATGGAAATTCTTTTAGGGCATGTATTTATTTTGCTATAATAGCTTTTCTTAAGCCATTGTCCCAAGGGTAAGCAGCTGAGGTTAGTCGCAGGTTTTGGATCACAGCTGAGTTATGATAAAGGGTCTATTGTATTTTAAATGTGTTGGTTTCTATTATTTACAATTGAAACAGAGGCAGAAACCCACTGATGATGGCTAGAGGTGCTGGAGGGAGATCCTAATGTTCCATTTAGTCTAGGATTTTAAACATAATCATTTGTCACAGTGAATTTATTCCTTCCTAAGCAGTACCTGGCAGGTGTGGAAGAGTTAAAGAAGCCATCCTAAGAACTAACTGCAAGGATAGAGCACTTGCTGATTTATTTTCTCCTCAGTCTTCCAAAGCTTTGTAACTTCTATAATGATGGAAATTCCTTTATTTTGTACTCTTCTCCCACTGATTGCATAGTGGGCTGCACTTAGGGATCTGAGCCAGGTGCCAGGAAGGGGATTGAACTATCCCTGTGAAAGTGCAGCAGACAGAGCACTAAGCATGAGAATGGGGCATAATAGAAGCCTGGCTTTGGCAGTAGCCTGTGCTTGTACCAATTCATTTGTACTATAAACTGCACTTTGAGAGATCTCCTGGCTGGCAGGTTTTGCTCTTGCAGCTCTCCAGTGCATGGTAGCCGGCATCACTTACACCTGTGCTTTCTCGAGTAGAAACTCCCCCTCTAGCTATGTTCCAGAGAAACTAATTAGATGGTTGCCTTATTTAGAAGATCTTTTAGCTGCTCATGGGGTTTTTTTTCCCTTCTTCTTATTTTCTGTTTTTAAGAAAAACAGGTTGTAATCTTTTTAGCTTCATGGAATATTTATGTCAGTCAAACACATTAGCCTTTGGGCATAAAGCAACCCAGTAAACTGTATGGTAAGGGAACATGGTTGCTGAGATGGGTAATTGTCACTAATCGTGTTGAACAATTGAAGTATAGGTTAAGCAGCTGGAACACGTTATTTTTTTAAAAATTAATGTGTACCTTGCAGTATGAAAAGGAGCAGCAAATCTGACATTTGTGAGCTCATTTACTAAAGTTACCTTTTGGTTACAAAGAGGAAAAGGAGAAAGTATCAGAACAATTTTATGTTTTGCAGATTATCAATAAATGTTAGCAGTTTGCTAGAAAGCAAGTAATTTACAGTTCACAGATACTGTATTTGAAATTATTATTGCAACTGTGTGACACAGAAAAGAAGAAACCCTGGATAGCAAAATACATATAAGCAAGGCCTTTATTCGTTCTTTCCATTTTTCTTTTTTTTTCCCCTGGAAAGGGCAATTGCCTGTAAGTGTCAGACTGACTGCTGACCACAGCGCCAGGACAACACAAGTTTCCATGAAGACATTCTTTCCCAATTGGGTGTCCTGTTGTGATACTGCAAGTCATGCCAAAATGTTCCCACATTGTCCTGTGATCTGTCTGCTTCTGTTAGTGTAGGTGATTTATGGTTTTGAGAGTCTTCATGTAAATTATGTATTTTATTTATATAGGGCAATGGTAGTATTTCTTCCTTGATGTGAAAGCGATTGTGTTAGTTATTAAATAAGACAATAAAGAACCCATCTGGTCTCTTTCCAAAACCTCTGTGGTAGCTGACTCACATTTGCTATCTCTGTAGCCAGGTTTGGGAAATACGTGTGCTGCTAAATGTGCAAGTTAAGCACTCTTCCAGTGCTTCCATTTCTTACACCAATATGTTGGCAGTTTGGAAATTGGAAGTTTTACTCCCAGGGAAAAAAAGTTTTAAAACGTATTTACTTTTATTTTTTCTTGAAAACTCAGAAGCTGAATTGAGACTGATTGTTCAGTACCATTGGAGGAAGAGCTTGAGTGCTTAAAAGTGAGAAATATACTTTTGATAAATATGTCTGTCAGATCTCTGACCTGTTGCTTTAGTCTCATAAAATAAAGAAGTAGTTAACAGAGGACTTAACTATCCATTTTGAATATATTAGTGACTACATAGAAAAGAGATCAAATTAAACATTGTTAAAGATTTTTTGTAAAACTTTCAGTGAAAGTAAAGTAGATTATTGAGAATTTGTTTGTACTGCTCATTCTAGAACATTTCAATACAGAAGTAAACAAAAATAAAATAACATTATGAATATGCAGGAGTTAATGCATAAAAAATAATTTGCATAAAACCACAGCCTTCCAAATTTTTTTCTTGCATTTATCTGTATGCAAACTTACCTGTTCTTTGGTGTGTTCTAACTTTTAATCATTTTTCACATTCTTATTTGTATGAAAGCTTCTTTTTGCCCCTTTACACACAATCTTCTCCATATTTGCATGATCTGATCTTGTCCATAAATAACAGTTTTCATCTTTGAAAGATGTTTCTCTTACTTACATGATTTTATTATTGGTATTTCAGAATCTATACCCATGTTATACAGACTAATTAATTACAACGTATATACAAGTCTGTTCAGTGTAAAGGATCTCTCATAGATTATTTCTCCTCACAACTAATGTTCTGGGAATTTCTTCTGCAAAAATGAAGTCTTGAATTCAACAAATAACAATAATTTTGGTATGAATGGGATCCTTACCTTTCTGTGTTGTAGCTTAACAGACCTGCCAGGTGGTTGTTTGCTTTTTTTCTGTGCATAGCTAAATTTTAGGAATTAAAGTTTCCATGTATAGTTTTTCCTCCAGCATGAAGTACTTTTATTCTCAAAACTTAACATTTTTTTCCCAGTATTTAAGGTACACTTTTCAAGGAAGAGAAATACATTCAAGTTACTTTTACAGTATTACTATTCAAGTCATAAAACATTCAGTAGAATACCCAAACAACCTGATACAAGAGATGTCAAAAATTAGGCTGAAGTTTTACTTGAGAGTAATGCCATCATTCATTTATTGACTCCTTTTCATTGGCAGAACCTAAAGAAGATTCAGGAAATGGACAAAGAGGGAAGTGATGAATCCAGCACAGATCTTGATGACTTAAAAAATGCTGACTGGGTAAGACAACAATTAAAGAGTGATTCAGCATAATTACTAGTAATTTATATTTCTTTATAAAGCTTACTTAAGGTGTCATTACCTCCACTCTCGTGAAATCCCACCTGAAACACTGTGTCCAGCTCTGGGTTCCCCAACATACAAAGGACATGGACCTGTTGGAGTGAGTTTTGAGGAGGGCCATGAAGATGATCAGAGAGCTGGAGCACCTCTCCTGTGGAGACAGGCTGAGAGAGTTGAGGTTTTTTAGCCTGGAGAAGACTCCAGGAGACCTTACAACACCCTTCCAGTACCTAAAGAGGGCCTGCAAGAGAGCTGGAGAGGGACTTTTTCGCAAGGGCCTGTAGTGATAGGACAGGAGGAATAGCTTTAAACTGAAAGATAGTATATTTAGATAAGATATTAGGAAGAAATTCTTTACAATGAGGATGATGGAACACAGGAACAGATTTGAGCAATCTGATCTAGTGGAAAGTGTCCCTGCCCAATGCAGAGGGGTTGAAACTAGATGAGCTTTAGGGTCCCTTCCAACCCAAACCATTCTATGGTACTATGTTAAAATCAGTCTCTGTTCTTTTTACCATATGAATTAATGGTAAAAATCATGACAAATTAGAACCAAATGAGTCTCAACTTTCATTTCCTGACAGATGAAACAATAGAAGTATCGAAGCAATACATTTCCTTTAGACTGCTTTCATGGAGAAGCTTTTGCAGTTTAAAGAGACTGGATATTTAGGCAGGAATCATGCTGACTCCCCTTCAGAGGAGTAGACAGAGCTGCCAGCTGAGTTTCTCTAATGATGAAAGAAAAAGGTTACAGGGAAACTCTTAACCCAGAAGTAGCTTGTTTTATTTTCTAGTTTCTATTCTTACCAGTTCATAGATGAATATTATGAGGTTCTTTAAATAACTTGATTTCAATTTCCCAGTCTTCTATCCACCACTTTTTTTTCTTCTCTCCAGCCATTCTGCTTCCCAGAAAATGAGAGGGAAGTGTTAGTGTGTGTTGCTCTTAAAGGCAGAGCAAAAGGAAGTTGACTACTGAGAAGATATTGCTGGACCTTAGGATTTGGAGTCCATTCCAAAATTTCTGTTTGAAGAACAACTACTGGGAAATTTTGCAACAAAGTTCTGGGCAACAATGTTTCAGATTCAGTCATTGTTTTAATTTGCATAGTATTAGGTATAAGTCTAAAAACTTTAAAGGCATGCTTGCAGTATACTTGAAATGGGAATATAGATGTAAAGTATGAGAATTTCAAATTCTTTTTCTGTATTTGAGGTGAGTCTGCTGAGTTGCAACAAAGTTTTGTTACATTCACAAGTGTTAAAAATAGGCTTATATAAAATAAAATGGGTTTTGATTGATGTGTTAAAAATGAAATAGTACAGCTGTAATATTTGGTGGCGTCCTGGAAGGAAAACAAACAACTTCGATTTAATGGGAGTTGTTATTCAAGGGTGAGATATCAAATAAAATTTCCCTCTCTTTTCCCTTCAGGCTCGTTTTTGGGTGCAAGTGATGCGAGATTTACGGAATGGTGTTAAACTTAAGAAAGTTCAAGAGCGTCAGTACAACCCACTCCCAATAGAATATCAGCTCACACCCTATGAGATGCTGATGGATGATATTAGATCCAAACGCTACACCTTAAGGAAGGTCATGGTAAGTCAAGAGAATCACTAGAATTTGTCAAATCTGAAATGTTCTTTTCCTTCTTTTATCTTCTTCTTGTCTTCTCTTTTTTGTTCTGAGAATCTTGAAATTATTATTTCTTATAGATACTAATGTTCATGGGTTTTAAATGGCATCTTAAATTTTCATTTGAGAGGGAAAACATGAAACCAACACATGTAGTGTATTTTGTTTTCCGTGTAGCAGGCATTTATGATTATGAAAGACATGCCTATGCATCATATGTTTGAACAAATACCTTGCGTTGCTTTTGCGATAACCTTAAGAGTCATCTCAAAAGTCCTGTCATGCTTTCCACTGAAAGGCTGTTTTAGACTTTTCTCATTGGAGAGAACATTTCTGTTGATTCATGGTATAGTTTTTGGAATTCTGGAATGTGAAGTGCTACCATGAATGATAGTGTGATGGGGAAGGAAAACCTACAGAGGTTAACTGAAAACTTATATTATCTATTGCCTGTATCACGGTGCTTGAAAACTTATCAAGATCTGTTATGAATTTTCAAGGAATACTCAATGTAAAAAAAATTAAATCTTCCATTTTTAGAAGTTGAACTCAATTATTTTCAGCATATTCTACTGTTGCTTTCAAGTCAAGACAATAAGCCAAAGCAAGCTGGAGAGTGTTCGTGAATCTTCTCCTCCTAGATTCTCATAAAGGTGCTTGTAAGATTGACTTCAGGTACTCTTTTTATCAGAACCAATTTGATATTTATTGGTGTCTCCCATTCTTTCTGTCTTTTTGGGTTATATTTTTTTCAGCATTAAGTTTTTCCTGGTAAGCTAGCAGTCGATCTAAAGGGGTCCTTATCTCTTGAAGGACATTTTATATCCCTTTTTCAGAGGCATGTATTTGGTCAATATCAAAACCTTGTATTTACTTATCTTCCCCTGTCATTAGTTACAATGGAAGCATTGTCTTAGAATATTCAGTGTTCAGATGTATTTCCTTTCCTATCTTTGATAGTAAGAAAACCGTGATTTCACCAGAGAAAAAGTCAGAGAGGGGGGAGGGAGACAGATGAGAGAGGCAGAAAGTGTGTAGCATAAATGCCTTTTATGTTTGAGCTGAAAGTACTTTTCTAATCGAGATCTGGATTTAGACTATCCGATTGTATTTATTTTCTGCAGCAGATGTTGCTTAAATGTTAAATCAAGAGGGTAAAATAGAAACCCAGGTAATGATGTTATCTGTCTTTCCCCTAACAGTTCAGAGAACTGTGCTAAGTGTTCCTTCTACCCACTGCGAAAGAGGAACAGTCCCCTCAGGACCTTGATTACTGTATGCAATCAGAATAGTCGTTTTGTTTGAATGGGAACCCCTGGGTCATCTAATTTTGCTTTTGTCAGACTAGCTTTTAATTCATCTTCTGCTAAGCAAGCTCCTGCCTCTTCAGAAAAGATTTTCTTCATTATATGGTATGTCTTGGAGGCACAGCTGCTCCTCTGCTCATCCAGGCTCTCACTGTGTACAAAATCCCTGCAAGGATCTATTTTTGGCCTGCTGTCTTGTCAACTAGATAGATTGTCGAAGTGAACTCTGGGCATAAACATGAATTGGGATTACGATCTGCTGCAGGTACAGTACCTGTAGGACTGTCTGTGGTGCAATTGCTGGCTCAGTCTGACAACTGCTCCTGACATTGTGCTAGAAAAATCACATCTTTCTTATTGGAACCCTTAAATTCAGTAACTTGAATCCTGGTGCAGGGTCTGCTTGAAGACTGTGCAAAGCATGTTCAGTAATAAGACTGTAGCTTGATATGGAATGTGCAGAGCCTGAAGGATTCACATGGAATTACAGGTTTTGTTAGATTGCATACATACAGCATCTTTTAGCTGACTATCATGGGGCAAAGCTGATTATATGTATTCCCATCAGAGAAAATCATTGTGGCTCTTGAGAAGAGGAGAAAAGGACAAGAATCTTAATTTTTAGGCAGTCTAGAAAAAACGGATTATGTTTCTTTCTATCAATCAAAATGGATGTTTGGCAAAATTTTTATTAAAAGTAATTTTTTGCTTTCAATTTATAGGTAGTAGTTTTAGACTTGGTAGCTTGTGAAAACACATGTGCTACTAATGATAAGAGGCTAGTAAATTTTTTAAGTAAGTCAGATGCAACATGAAATCTTCATTGTTCTTTTTATTAGTATAATGCTGTGTTTAAAAGAGTAGCTTGATCTGTCCATGGCTGCTCAGTACTCTGAGCAAAAATTAGGAAAGGAACAGATGTTCCTATTAGGAAGTATTTTGGTGTTTCAGACTGTCAAAAGTATTGCACTAACAGACAGCAATAACTGGAGCTGCCTGTTCTCACCCACCTTCTGTCATAGTGCAAACATTCAAAATGTTTTGAAGATGCAGGATGTCAGATTCTGGGCTTTTGGTAAATAACTGGTTTAATTTGTTTCAGTGACGTTGGCATTTCTATTTCAGGACATATGAAAATAATTCCAGATTTGTCATCTCTCTATCCGGATGTAAGAGTCGTCATTTCTGTGACTGTTGTGGGAGCAAGATAGCTTTCATTCTGGCATTTTATGATCTTTAAATACCTACCTGGAGAGATATAATAGTGTTTTTCTCCCATGGAGCACCCACTCCCACAAAAGTTAAAAACTGTGAACGTGGGTAGAGTCAACATTTACTAATGGAGAAATTTGTTATATTGCTCTTACAAGCTTGATTTTTCTTTATTATGCATATGTGTTGAGCTACAGTTTTTAATTTCACAGTGATTCACAATTAGCTCTCCTTTCTATCCACCTCTCCCCCTCCAAGATGTGCATCATTTGCTGTATTTCTTGAGCAATCCATCTTTATAGGTAACAGCGCCCTGTCTTCATATTCAAGCTCTTCACAAACACCTGTGACAGTGGTATTAGCTTGGCCGTGTTGCAACAGGGGAATTTAAATATATAGGCTGAAGCTATTAATATAAAAAATATCCAGTAATTTGAATGTCTAAGCTGAGAACCTTGTAACAGGGGTTTTGGTGCGTTTTTTAAAAACATTCATTTCTTTGCAGTATTTAGCATCTTACAGTACTTACTTTAGTTGCAATAACAGCTGTGTGTGGACAGTATTTTCGTAAGCAAGATTTCATATGTTTCAAGCAAGACATAGAGAATGTGAGGAAAGGACTTTGACCAGTTTGACCAGCTGGGCATTGTAGAGTCTGTTGTTCTTGCAAACACGAGGGTCTGACGTAGTTGTGCTGAGTGGCATTCAGTTGCATTCAGCAGAGAATGCCACTTTTTCGTTTTCCAACTTGGTCACACTTCTACAGAAGTTTAGAAGTCACCCTAAGTAGAGCACGGAGTTTTACAGCTCCTAATCATGCTTTAGGGATATTCAAAGGGGTAACTGTGTAAATACTGTGGTTATCATGTGGCATCATAAACTTGTTTCTATAGTAGATGTACAGGAGCAGCAGTGTGAATACAGTGCCTTATATAATGGGAAGTACCAAAGCACTTCATTCTTGGACACTGCTGCTTGAGCTTGCTGTGTGGTGTCACATACACACTATATAACAACTATGTTAACTAAAACACTATACTGTCTGCCTAATGCAAGATGGTAAATGTATATCTACTTAAAGTACTTTAATTCACCATAAAATTTTATCATGAGCTGTTTTAGAAATGATGTATCAGTGTCTATGCAGTTTCCTTTTAAATGGAAACGTCTAGATAGTACAAAACAATATCAGTTTCATGTTGGCAATTATTTAGAGATAGCACTCTCCTACTTAATGCTGACAGCTTTAATAGTGAGACAAATAAATGGCTGAAATAATTAAATGTCAATGATAAATGAAGTTATTTTTTGAAAGTTATGAGCAATGTACTTCTTGTTTGGGATCACCATTTTTAAGGCTTTGGGCTTCACCCAAAGGTAACTAAGTACTATTTGCAGTTATTTTTTTAAATGGCAAATCCATATTTATATATTAAAATGTAATGGTAGCAGTAGATGATTACATGCTAATTTTTATGTGCAGGTGTCCACATTTATGTTTGATTTTTATAATAATTGGTTATGCTTTCTCCACACTGCTAATTTTAATGCATACTGCTATACAAAAGCTGTTTTACATGAAAACTTAGTATAGTTTTACAGTGTTTTTACAGTACTTAGTATAGTATAGTTTTACAGTGTTTACTGGTTTGCAGCTGGGGCCAGTCTGGTATGTGGGGGGGGGGGGTAAAAAAAGGAACTAAATTTGTTCCTTGGTGGTTTTTTCCCCCTGCATGTATCATGGCTGCATCTGTGGAATATCTCTGATTTAGACTTTAATCAAGAGCCATGAATTTTAATTAAGTAAAGAATGCATTTGAAATTGCTCATTACAGAGAGGGCTAGTTTGAGTAAATAAATAGATCTAGTGTGGACAGAGAGGATGAAAGCTTCTCTTCAGTATCTTCCATATCAGTATCTTGTTTGGGCGCCAAAGGTTCTGCTATGGGTGCTCCCACTCTCTTGGCTTGTTGGCTGTGAAACATCCACTTGCTTTGCCATCAGCTCCCCATGTATCCTGTGGAAAATCACTTAAGCAAATCGTACATTTCTCCTTTTCCAATCAGATGGTAATACTGATACTAATTATACCCTGATGGCATTAAGTCAGGGCCTAGAGTGCCCTGAGGTGAAAGGCTCAGAGCCATGTATTATTTATTTACCATTGTCACAGAGAGGGTTGTTCCCCAAGGCTGGAACAGAGATTATCAGTTTACAAAACGGCTGTTCTGATGGTAATAATTCGCAGCTTCAGCTATCAACTTTGACATCTGATGAACAGTAACTCAGGGAAGAGAGACTTCTCATTTCATTAACAATCCTCCAAAGCCTTCTGGCCTGAAAAAATTGCTCAGTCTTTAAAGAGAAGAAATCAATCACACAGCTTAAAAAAATATTCTCCTCATCAGGAAATGTCAAGTCACCATTTTGTATAAACCTTTTCCATTTTAATTTTTCTGCACTGTTTTTAAGAAGATGATGCATGTTGAAGGGTTTAGCAGCTTGGTATTCTCTGCCAAGCGACATGAAATTCACTCTAAGGAAGCTAAGGAGGGTGCCACAAATAGAGTTTGGAGTGTGTCTGGGGTAGAATATCTCCAGAAAGAGTCCTCAGAAAGGCAATTAAGTGTTCCCCAGGAGGGACTCTACATCTTCTTCCTTAGAGGGAAAGGGATGAATCTTCTCTGGGAGGCTGTCACTCGGCCTCAGCCTGGAAACAGGGCATGCTTGAGGTGAGCAGAGCTTGTACAGAAGCTGCTTGGCATTGATGAAGTTCAATTAGGCATCATATTCAGGTGAATATGGCACTTAAACCCATTTTTCTGATTGCACCATTCCGTCTGGATAGCCAAAGGGCATGTGATATGGCAAACCAGAGATATGTCTTTACATATGTTTGCTGGCTACAGAGTTTGTGTGAATGGAGTCTCCCAAAGAAATAACTGGCCTTTAAGAAAATAAAAAGAAGTGCTGCAATATGGGACAGTTGGTCTAAGAAATATAGTCATGTATTTTATGTTATATATGGTCATGGGAATTTCTGTCAAATTGGAGGACAGGCCTGATAGCCAGCTAGAGTGTGGTAATAGGAGGTGCCAGAAGGATGTATGACATAGGATGCTCTCTCATCCCTGACAGTGTGCTTGGGCACTGTGCTGTATGCCAACTGACCCCGACAGGTGTTTTTTGTAAGCAAATCCATACATTTATTCCCAGCTTACAATGTATACATTCTTTATATGATACGAGAACTTCCAGTGCCTTCTTTTATATCCTATACATATAGTAAATTGATGACTCTTTCCTGTGATGTCTTAAGTCTAAATGAGTTCTCAGAGAAAGAAATGTCTGTGTCTTTGGAGAAAACCAAACAAAAAAGCAAACAACCCTCACCCAGCCCCTGTTCTACAGAAATTTATGATTTACGGAGAGGAAAAGTACTTCTCCCATAGACATGATTGCAGCCCTGACATTTGATTTCATCATTTCAAAATCCTAAGTATTGCTGATTAAAGCTGCTGCAATTGTGGTTATTTTGCAGCTATCAGCAAAGCTGAGAAGCTGTTATGTATGGTTTTTTGCTTGACTGTGCTCTGCATATGGATTGTTGCTCTGCTCAGGACCAGTGGGGTTTTACGTCTGGTGCAGGTGTCAGAACACTGCCAGCTCTGTCAGGCTTGTTGTGAGTTTTCAACTATCTCATCTGCATGAATGTGAATGTAAAACACAACAATATATGTTTCACTTTCTCCTTTCCAGGTCAACGGTGACATCCCACCCCGATTAAAAAAGAGTGCCCATGAAATAATCCTGGATTTCATCCGATCGCGACCTCCATTAAATCCTGTATGTAATCCAATGGGCTTCATTCCTAACAAAAATTGTGGCTTTTTAAAGCATGTTTGTGTCCAATGAATACCACATTTTCTGCCATAGGCTTTCAAAAATATTGTCTTCTGTATATATAGAACAAGATCTTGAGTGTGCAATATCTTGCACATACCAATGAATAGCTGTTATTACCAGCAGCCCTTTATCTCTGGGAAATCATGCTCCATCAGGGAGAAATTAAAACCCTCTTTCATATTTATGTGAGGTTTAAAGTTGAGTGCATGTAAAATCATATCACAACATTCCACATTTTTTTCCAAAAAAGTCTGAAATCTACTTTCAAGGAAGCAGTTTTTCATGTAAATATGATTATATTTATATCCCAAGGCCTCGGCAAGGAAACTGAAACCAACCCCACCACGGCCACGCAGCCTTCATGAAAGGATACTGGAGGAAATCAAGGCGGAGAGGAAGTTACGTCCAGTCTCACCTGATGAGATAAGGCGTAGCAGGCTGGGTAAGCACATTGCCAGTTTTTACCTGCAGCATCCACAGGAAACTTCCCGCACGAGAAGCAGCAATATTAGCCATGTCTGTGCAGGTGTCATGAAGGATAAAATTATTCTCAACCCTTCAGAAAAAGAAAGAACCTACAGGATTTTCTAGGCCTATGCAGTTTTTGGGCTAAGTTATATTTTAAAATATGAAACCGAATGGTTCAGTTTGATTCCATTCAAGTTTTTAATGTAAGTATTAGATAAATTTAATGGTATTGTATTGCTTGTTGCACATGACAGCTAATGTTAGATTTGCTCAGAATGGAACAGTTTTTCCTTCTCGACAGTGCAGTATGCCTTACATATCTGCAAGTCTTCTTTACATGTTGTTTTTTAATTAATTTATGCTCTGTGTTTCCTGTTGTTAGTGTCATCAACTTCCTTATTTTAATTTAAAACCTGCTTTTATTGTGTTTGCTGAATCTGTTGCACTTACTTTGAATCTGAATGTTTGCTTCATTTTCTAAGTTGTGGAACATGTCTTTGTAGATCATTTTAGTGGGAAAATAATTCAGACTTGCACTGCAAAACATTTAATTTCTGCAGTGCGTATTTAGCAACCCGCTATGAAATTATACAAAATACTGTGCTGTGCAGCAATCACCAGGTTCTGATGACAAAAGAATGACAAATATAGTCTTATATAGTGACTTGATTGCTTTAAGAGTGGTATATATCTGTATCAGAAAAACCAAACTAGCTGGATTCTTGAAGAGCAAATGTGGCATCTTACATCTGAAAAGCATGAAATAACCCACGTACGTACTGTCTATCACTGCTTTTTGCAAAATATTTGTGCTTTCCACGTGCTCAAAGGCACTGGTCCAGATTCAAGTGGATTGTGACAACCCATTGTCTCTGGAGCAAAAAACAGTTTCATCAGTCTTGCTTTGTTGCATTGTTTTTGAAGTGCTTGATGGAGTTTGGGGAATGCTTGGGTGCATTTTTAAAAGCACAATGTTTTGAATATTGTTTTTTGGGCCTTCCAGTTTCTGGTTTGGATTAATTTTATGCTTGCCCTATCAATTAACATTTCTAACAGGCCTACACATTTTTCCAAATGTAGGAAGCTTGTAAAAATGTGGAATGATTCCTCACTTTTCTTTCAAACATTCAATTTCAGTGTTTTAAATGTTTTCCATCTGGGAACTATCATGTCATCTCAGGGGCAGCAAATTTTATCTAATAAATCTTTACAATTTCTAACTGATATAAATGACATTGAATTCAGTTAGTAAACAGTTTCTAAAACCAATGTTAAATTTTGGACTACCACTGGTTAGGACTTCTGAGCTGATTTTAGGGCAGGGCCTCCAACGAGGGATACCTGTCTTCCACCAATTCTTCATTTTTTGTTAAAGAATTAAATTTTTGTGTTTTGGAAATCTAGTAATTCCTCTTAAGTCCAGTGAATTGATTGGATTAAATACCATATTACTATAGGTGTAAAAAGGGATGCATGCAATTTTTTTTCCCAAGTGTGTATTTGCTGCTGGCATGAAGAAGTAGAAAGATCACAGGTCTTTAAGATAATTTTTTCTTGTGTTGAAATATGAGGTTTTGTTCTTTCTCACATTGAAATGATTGTTATGCCCAAAGTTGCTTTTAGAGTAGAATGTGTTTGTGCAGAATTGCGAATGGAGTAATGCTAGTGGCATTCAGTATGACACAAATAGATCTACCATGTAGTTTAAATGACCACTGAGTGTAATTTAGTGTAACAACATGTAAAGTAATGAGGCTTAAGGATTACAAATCTAACACCACATGGGACACTTACACCATCTGGATAGAAATATTTGTCACTATTAAAAAGGAGGGGGGAAAAAAAAGCACATTAGAATGAAATATTTGGGAGCATAAGGTATGTTTCACGTGTCCCACAGTTACTCCTTTTTGCTCAGTTTATAGCAGTCGAGAGCACAACTACACTTGACTGTTGGGGTGAGGGGGGCTGTAGTCCTGCAGTTCCTCCTCTGTGATCTGAGTGTACCTGCAGCATGTGTTTCCCAGCAGCCTCAGGCTTTGTCCCTCTGCTCTGCACAACTCATGGTACAGGTAAGACCTTCTGTACCCTGAGCTGCCACTGAGAAAAGGCAGCCTCTGGCTGGCCACTCTCAGTCTAAAACTTATTTGGAAATGGTGATTGAAACTTGGTAGCTATTCTCACAAAGAGTGTTTTGAGTGGAGGAGCTGAAGTGAGCTTTCAAATGACCTCATAAAATGATCAGCATAAACTATCAAGACAAACACAGCTTTGAGGTACATGTCCTTTTAATTAAAAGCATGGATTTGTGACTCAAGCAGGTGGAGCTACTGGAACTTAGAGAAAACTTTGCTTCATGTGCGTGTTTTATCAGCCTTCAGTTAGGGTTCAGCATTAGGTGATAAACACCCTTATGTTTTAAAATGTATAATGCTTAGTTTGGACAGGGATTTAAATAGTGCTTCGGTAGCTGTTATGTATGGCCGATGTTGTCTAGTTAATGAACTACACGAAAAATACCAACTCCCAAATCTGGCTCTGAGTCAGCCACCTACGGCATTCACCACTTTATTCTCATGAGCAAAACTTGTCCCAGTATAACCTTTTTATAAACACCTTTTAATGCAGTGGTATGTGTGGCTGACAGGCTCTTTCATACCAACTTGCATGTTTATCACCTGTCAAGTAAGACATGTAAGCTTTCTTAACATTTTTGTACATTCTTGTCATTGGGCTTGGCCTGCTTATCTAGATTAGTGCATTGAAATATTATTTTCAGTTGAGTACTATTTTGAGTGTCTGTTCCCTGAATTACATTGTTTAATTGGAAATATAGATAGGTCTTTCCAGATATAAAGAACATCTGACCACTTTCTTATCTAGCAATAAAATAGTTAGAGGCCCAGGAAGAAGAGAATATTACTGATACATTTTAAAGGCTAAGTGCACCTGAGGTTTTTGAAAAGCACAGGAATCAGCACAAATCAGATTTTTTTTGGCCTTTTTTCCATCCTCTTCAAGGAAAACTACTGTTCAAGCTTAGCTTGAATGTCTCTCTTTATTAGTTTAATTATAATCATTGGAGATTATGCTTAAAAAAATTAGAAATATCTTTATTTCAGGTCACTGAAACTTGTGTGAAATGTGGCTTTGTGCTTTCAATTTTCTTTTCAGCTTTCTCTCCTCTTTCCCTTTTCCCTTTTTCATAGCATTTTATTTGAAAATACTAAATTTTTAAGATATTTGCCTCTTGTTTTGATATTTGATTTCTCGAATTCCGAAGATCTCATTCTACAACTATACTAATATATTTATAATTGCTCTGTTTGCGTATCCCATTTATGCTACTGTAGTTTTCAGACTTTTAGCTTTACTACAGTGAAGCAGTAGTATGTCTGACACATTTTGGATTTAGACAACAGAATCCAAAATGTATTAAGTGGAGTTAATCTTTTGTTTTCATTATCCCTCTGCTTTTCTAATAGCTGAATCGTTTTCTTGTTTTGTTGTTTTTGTTTCTTTTTTTTTACAGCAATCCGGCCACTTAGCATGTCTTACAGTTTTGACTTGTCAGGTAAAATGTCCTACACCACCTGACCTGTGGTTATTGTGCTTATTGTGAAATTTGTTCCATCTGTTTGTTGAATTCACATTTAGGAAAGAAACTTGAAGGGATTCTTCCAATACATGGTCAGTGAAAATAAAAAATTTATATAAATTAGCTATTGATACCTACATTTCCCTTGCCACAAAACGTTGCCTAGGTATAGGAAACATCTGCATTTCACCTGAAGTAGAGTGCTGAAATTCTGCTTAAACAGATTACCAAAATAAGGTGGCCCAGAGCAATTCCAGACTCTTAAAAGGATTGCAGAATACAGTGTCACCTTTAAGTCTTATTGCTTTATTTATTAATCTGACGATTTGACTAGACCATCTTTTGCAGTACTTCATTTCTCACAAGGATCCAAAAACTAGCTTTGAATTCATCTACCTTTCTAGATTTAATGAAATATACCTATGTATACTAATCTAGAAAGAAACTGTCAGTTCTGCTGTGTGTCTTTACATTAGAAGCTTTGTGAGCTGTGAAATCAAAGAGGTTCACTAAAAAGGAGGCTAAACCTTTCTTTACTGATTAGCAAAATAAATTGATAAGGTTTGCTGGTAATAACTGTTACAGGGGATTCAATAGCTGATCCTTCATCAACTATCTAATATCAAATTTCAAGTTTCCTCTTTGTAAGCCATTAGTTAGGACATGCAGTAACTCTATGAACATATTCTACTTCAGAAACAACAGTGTCAGATAGAGTCTGTGCCTGCTAGCCAGAGAATAAATTCATTCCTTCCTCATTATACACTAACTTTCCAGGATGTTCAGGCTCAAAGATTCCATCATCGATGTAGGAAATACTCAACATCATCCCCAAAGGTTTATCTACTGAGGAGGGCTAGCTATCTTATGCTAGCTCTTACCTAATTTCCCTTAGGTGACTCCTGAAAAGAGTCTCCAAATAAATCCATGCTCTCTGTACCCGCTCCCCTCCTTCCTTCGAGTTGTATGTAGAAACGTCTCATCTGAGACTTTTGCAGAGTTCTCATCCTCAGTTTCTCCATGCACCCTTTAGCCTCATCTGGTTGTTTTCCCCACAGAAAGGCATAATCTGACTGAAATGCTGGCATATTGTGAATTAGAAAGACCATATGGAAGTTTTTCAATAACTATAACATAAAAACTAAAATAGTTATGCAATATGGGAACACAGTCCACAAGTGACCTACCTGTGAACGTGGTTCCCTGTTCTGGCTGAGCCAAGTAATAAGTTTGCCACTGTGGAGCAGGGAGGAGGGACCGGCTTCTCCCTCTCCTTCCCAAGCTCCCCTCTATGCATGAGATTCCCCCTCCTCCTTTGTGCAAGCCCTGCTCATTTATTCACAAGATGACCTGGTTAAACCCATGTAAGCCAGGAA